GCAGTAAGAGCCGAGTGACGCATCCCAGACCACAAATTCCTTTGCATCTTTGACAGTGGCTCTTACACCAAGCCACTGCTCAGGACCCCTGAAATCAGGTGCTCTATATTTGAGAGATCAACCCTGCTAACCTCCAGTAGCAAGGCATGGTCAGAGAGCTTACAATCTTTTCCTATCAAGGATCAATTCTAAGCATGTAAGCACCTGAAACAAGAAGCCTGTGGGTGCACTTCAACTTCACTGTTTAGACCCAAGTTCCAGCCTGAGCTCAGCACCCGCATTTCCCTTCTCTTCCCACTTCCCCACATTAACAAAGATGAGTAGGACAGGCAGTTGGCCCCCTAGGCAAGGCAAGAGGCCAGAAAGCCATGCATACGTACGTATAATTCAGCCAGCGCATGGCGTTCCAGTACAGAGAGTCGAGACGTGCTGACTTCCCAATGCCTTCTTTCTGGTTCAGAGCTACCAGCACTTTGTCCACCTCCACCAACTCCACAGGCAGCTTCTGCAAGAAGCAAGCACAAACTATCAATCTTCAGAGTAAACTCAGCCTGGGCACACACAGCAGCAAGGCACAGGCTGTCCTCAAGATAAAACAGGAACACACAGACCCACCCGGCTCCTGCATGCTACTCTCCTGAGCCCTTTCACAGCAATATTTTAATCTGGGGGCAAAAACTAGTTAAGGCACAGCATGCCACCAGCTACAGCTGCTTGAAAACTGGGCTCCAAGCGCATGAGAGGCATGAGTCAAACAGCTAGAACTGTACTGACATCAAAAGCACTGAATGGTCCTTTGGTCCTCTCTCCTTTCCAGGCCATGGCTGGGGGTGAGGGGGAGGAGACACATGACTACGTACCCATCTAAAAGAAAAAACAGCAGCATTTTCAGTCTGGTTTCTAAAGGATGCAGTCAAGCTGTCTCTGGCTGCTTCTTACAGCTTCTGTGACCCACTGCACTATCTCAGTAAAGCAGATAGAAGGGGGCGTCTCAAAGGCTATTCAGTTCCTACAGAAGCCTTGGAAATAATCTCTCTCCTCCACCCACTTTCCTATTAGGTCTTCACAAAGAAACAGGTTGTTGTGTGAGCTCAGCGCTTATCAGTAGGAAACTGGGCTTCAGTAATTCTGCTTGTGTTATTTTGCTCCAGTAAATAAGACCACGTTGGAAACTTATTTTGTCACCTATTAGAAAATCTTCGCATGTTCGAAAAAGCCACTTTTCATTAGGGGAAACAAAGCCCCAGAACAAAGCCTCACTCCCACGCACAAAGCTTCTGAGGGAGAACAGCAACACAATCTTTGGGACTCAGCGAAGAGGAGAGAGCGCTCTGCCGGGACACAAAACAGCTCGCTCTCACCATCCCCCAGACCCTAATTCTTTAAGAAGGGAGATGCCACAGAACACTGCACGAATCTTTTTAACGAGCACTTGGGAGACAGCTCACAAGAGCTATGTATTACTCCTTCAGACATGAGGGCTCTTTCTGTCCTCAAATCCAGCTAGGCATTCTCTCCAGGGGTATACCTTAAGTAAGAAGTGAGGAGGGATGTAGTGATGGAGCGGTCACGTGGCAAAATTCTTGTGTGACATTTGAAAGAGGCCTTGGTGGTGTTCAGAAGGAGAAGAGCCACTTGTCACATGGCTGGTATGCTAGGGAGCCAAACCTGCCCAGGATCAGGTCACGCACTCACCTGCTGAGTCACGGTTTTGAGGAGGAAGTTCAACAGCTCCAAGTTCTTGGCAACTTTCTCTTTCTCAGCCTTCACCCGAAACTGGTCAGCCACTTTCAAACTCTGCAAGTTAAAGAGGGAGGTGAAGGAGGAGCATACGTTAAATGGAGAAACAAATCACTCTCCTCGGGACAAAGCAGAAAATGAGCGATTAGCGGGATTAGCATGTCACCAAAATAACTCTGGAACAGCAAAATCCAGCCAACTCTGGAAATGCTCAGGAGGGTAAGTGGGGGAAGCTGCTGTTGCTCCGGTTAATTAAATATCAACTGGACAAAGAAAGAGCAAGGCTAAGCCAAAGCACAACTGGGGACATGTTGCTGCCTCCTGGAGGAAAAAAAGGAAAGGCAATATGCCCCCCGCAGAAAGGCCAGGAGACTACCAAACAACAGCCTCATTTGAGGGACAACCAGCAACTCGGCTGCAGAAGCTGGGATTTACACACAAAGCATTAATGCAAAAATCCATTAACACTTAGGCCTAGGAAATCCCAGTGGCCAGCACTAGAACAGGGCTTGTCAATCAAGCTTAAGTTCACTGAAAAGGACTAAGGGAAAATCTCATCCCTTTGTGTTTCCTCTTTATGCTGCAGGGTTTCTGAGACACCGAAAGGTCTGCCTTAGAGGCAAATCACTCCAGAGAGAGGTCAAATAAAAGACAGAGTTATATCCTACTGGAAAAGGGCAGAAAATAGCCACAGAAAGGCAGCTGGATCAAAGAAGCGGCCCAGGGGCACAGGGGTGCCAATCCTTTGCCTGCAGCTGGGCCACACAGTCCTGCTTACACAGTAGTTTCTTTCCCCATTACAGTTCTGTGTGAATGCCCACAGCAATGTGGCTGGTATGAGATGGGACTTGTGGGGACATGCTTGTCCTAGACAGCGGCGTGCCCCACGCTTGGCTGACATTGGTGCGGGGCATCGCGCGCCCTGAGCAATGATGCCTCCATGTGTCCCGTCAAGGCCAATTTCTCTAAAGGAGGCTGCACTGGTGACAAAGGCCATCCTCGCCTGAAGTTTGAATACGCCAGCCCCGCGATGGGCAAAGTCACCCCAGACTCGGCTTCCTCGGTGCCTCGGGAATCGGGCGCTGCCGACAAGTCATCGCACCAAAACTGGTCGGGAGAGGTCTGCCAGGAGACGCGGTCTCATGGTTCATGAGACCAACTGCAGAGTTCGCTCCATTTGGACTAGAAGTAATTTTAAGGACTCTGAGCAAGTTATTTCCAGTCTATATTGGCATAAAGCAGACAAAGTAAAAATCCTCACAGACACTGAGAAGAGTAAGGAATTTATTCCCCAAAGCAAGTGCCTATTGAGTAACGACTCCCATGACAGGAGAACATGATGGCCAGCAAGAGTCTAACAAATGTGTTTAGCAGAAAAAGTGGGAAGATCAGATTACATATCTGTATGAACTGCAGCTTTCATATAGAAGCATTCATTATCTGTACTGGATTCCACACCCTGGGAGTATTTTTTTTAATATATATATATAATTAAAAAAACAGTTATTTTTTGGCCAGGATGGGCCACACAAGCCCTGTATGGGAAAGCCACCATGCTCTGCTGGCTGGAATTCATGTTGCAACTTCTTTTGACTATCAGTAACTTGCTAATTACTCCCTCCTGATAGGCAGAAGCGCTGCAACTCTGTTCCAGAGCTGTCATTAACCTACAAGGTCACACAATTCAACAGCTCTAAAGTCTCTCAGGTAAAAGGAGAAACAAATATCAGGGTATGTGATCAAAAATATTCCCACGTAGGACACAACATCCCAAGGGCCATGCACGCTCCATTTATTACGCCTACTGCAGTAAATAATAATAATAAACAGCAAACCAATTATGAAAAACAGACTGATTTGCATAAAAATTTTCTTTGCAATGTTAAAAAAACAAGGTATTGCCAGGCTAACAGTTGTTATTTGTAGTTAAAGTAGCTTTCAGAGATGCTATTTATGTTCGATCCCTAGTGTGCTATGTTGCATGCAAGTTCACAGCGATGGAAAGTCAGTACAGGGTGGCAGCTCTTGCAGACAGAAACCAGAGGAAGCAGGGCGGTTGTGTGAGAAGAAGCCACAAGAAAGTCAACTATCATTTGATCTTTTTAATATATCAACATTTTAGAATTAGAAAGGTGTTAAAAATAAATTGCATTTTCTTTTCCCTGCAGATGAGGCGTCCATTAAAAACATGCAGGTCTGACTGTCTTTTCTCGCTGCCATCCCCACGTCTCGGAATTACCTTGAAACCCTGCTGAAGTCAATAGGAAAGTCCTATTGGTGTGAACAACACTCGAGGGCTTGCTTTTCAGAAGCCATTAACACTCGCATTTCTCCCCCAAAGTCCACAAGCAGTTCTCTGGCATCTGTGAAACTGGAATGCGCATCTACTTTGGCGTGCCCAACCGAATTCATGCAAAACTGCAGAACAAAAACGGCGGCTTGCCTAGCTGTAGATGGAAGACACCACTGGTCCAGCAACATCAGTGCAGGAAAACTAAACATCTAAATTAAAGGAGGTGTTTTGCATGAGCCTGGAAACATCAGCATAAGCACAAACCACCAGAGGCAATCCAGCATGATGTAGGTGCTGTGCAAACAAATAACTCCATACTAATGGAGTTAGTATCCATAAATGGATCATTTTTAAATGGCTCTCAAAGACCAGGAAGGAATAAGGAAGAGGGTGGGGGTGGGTGGAGAAGCTAAAGCAGCTAAGCAGCAGCAGATAATTAATTCCTACAGCACATATTATTTTCTCTGGTCCAGAAGCTGGATGGATTTGTTTTAAGGAAGCCAGATCCAAAGTTTTACCTTCTATCTCTGAATATATCCTTTCCCCCTTTGCTACAAAGGGCATAACGGAAATTTACTCCAAAAAGCACAAAAACTCCTGCAACTCTGCATGTGGTATAGTTGAGACAGTCAAACCTCCTTAATGGCTTGAGTCCAATTCCTGCTCAGCTCAGTGTCACTTAGGAGCCTGATCTCATCACTGCTGTCTCAGAGCACTTCCCCATTGTGTGTTATGTGAGATGGTATCTTCTGCCACGCATTGCTTCACTCTCACCCTCCCACAGCAGGGAACGTACTCAGTGGGGCGTTTACTTTGGCAGGGTAAGTGTTAGCATGCAACATTGGTACAAACATGCTGTGCTCTGGTTATGTTTAAAAAAAGCTGACTTTTCCTTGGGTCACTGCTCCTAAGGAATGAAATAGCAAGTCTCTTCAATGGGAACTGGGTCCAAATCTCAGGTTCAGCTTTCCCAAGTATTTGTCATAAATTCTTGCTGCACACAATATCGACTATTTTCTGTATGCTGCGGGTTTGCAAAGCTGATTGCTTTGCCCTGCACTGTAACTCAGCTATCTGAGAGGTGCAATTAAGCATTGTCACCCCAATTGTTCAGGTCAATCATTTTACAGGCTGACTGCAATTTCATTCGGGGAATGTAAAAAATACAATCATAAAAATAGAGCAAAAGCTATTATGTAACAGATGGCGAAGTGCAACACATGGCAAACATGCCTCAGAAAGAAAAATAGTTTTTCAGTCATCTGCAGCATCCTTAAGCAAGCCTCAAACAGTGAGTGATTAGATGGCAGAAAACTTGCACAAGGTTGGCAAGTACCTCCGTTTTACATAGCAAAACTGAGGCACTAAGCAGTGGTTTTCCTTCTAGCTATACTACTGGTCAGCGGTGGAAAGTTAAGTGAAAACCAGTGGAAAGTTAAGTGAAAACCCAGAAAATCTTGCCTAGCCACCTGTTCTACGATTCCCTGCCACGTGCTGTTTGCAAAGGTATCAAACCCTTCTTTCCCCTGCCCTTTAAAAACATTACCAAGTTAGGAGTCAAATAACCCAATTGCTTCCCACCAAAAGCAGAGAGCACGTGGCTTATAGCCAACAGCCATCCCTGCACCGTTTGCCGATTATATTATTTTTCTGCTGTTTTGGGCGGTTGCTACTCTGCTGCTGCAAGAACAGCCAGTCCCACTTAACACCGAATCTCTGCTCAGTGATACCTGCAAACACATTCCTGGACATCTGAGCTGTCAACGTATCTGGCCAGGCCATCTTCTAAAAGGAAAGGCAGTTTTCACAGCTGGAACTCCCATCTCAGCTCAAGCCAACAACCAGCAATACAGTTCCTGCCTCGCCCCATGTGGCTTCAGCTGGCAGAGATGGTTTTGGCTTGTTAGGCCAGACGCACGCTGCCTCCACAGGCCTCTGCCTGTTTCTGGGGGATGGCACTCCTGATTCGGATGTCCTCTGCTTCTAGGATTTCTACTTGAAGAACAGCACACCCTCAGCACCTTATCAATCAATGTTTCTTCTTGTAATCCTAATTCCTATGTCAAATATACAGGCAACCCAACTACTACAGCCTCGCATCTACTACTTTCACTCCATCTCTTACTGCATTTCACAGCATTCCTTCACCTTCACAATGTCCATATGAAATATTTGTTAGAGACCATGAGGTGCTCAGATACCCATAGTAATTCAGTTGTACAAGTAAGATAGAGAGCTTATAGCTAAAATGGGCTGTTAACCGCATAGCTCCATGCCTCAGATCTCCAGGTAGGAGAAGGTCCAAGTCCAAGACCCTGCAGAAATCTCCAGTAGAGCAAAAGGCGGGGCACATATGTCTAGAGGCAAAGCTAGCATTCCAGCTGCTGGCCAGCTTTCCCTGCAGGTGAGACGGTGACAAGATGTTACAGGGAGCCGAGCAATGTTTTTGGAAGTCTCCACATTCCCTGCAACCTCAGCCTGCCTGTACCTCTTCTCCTTTCCCAGCTACCAGAGCGGGGGACACGCTTAGCCCAGATTTCCAAGATGCACAGTAATATCTCAGAGTCCAGAGGAGCACTCTGCTAGAGAAAGGAGCACGTCTCCTAGCTGAGAGTTTGCACACCAGTTAATAATTACGCATTCCCAACACGTCCGTCAGCCTACTTCATTGCTCAGAACAAACAGCCCTTCCCCGCCGTGGGATCAGCCGGACAGATCCGTCACTGCTCCGCGAGCAGAGAGCCCCAGCCAACCTGCATTCTTT